AGATTTACCAACTGTTCTCCCCTCTGCACATACACCACATGCTAGAAAGGACAGAAGGCTGGGCCTTCATCACTTTGGTTTCCTTTCATTTAAAACTCATTAATAGAAACGAATTAGAAGCAGTTAGGGATCTAGCCAGAACTGAAACCTGTGCAATTATATTTACAATAAATAGCCGTTATCTTTGAGCTACACACACAACAGGATGGTGCTTAACATGCTGTGATAAAGGTGCTAATCACAACCACTAAATATAAAAGAAGAGGAAGGCATCTGTAATCCATTCATCTTTAGAGAGTGTTAAAAAAAAAAAAAAAAAAAAAAAGAGAGATACTGTACTGCACACAGCAGTTATCCAAACAGTTGGAGGAATAAAGGGAAAATTCAAGGCAGGTCTGTAGAAAGAGTGGGAGGGGGAGAAAAAAACAACAAAAAACCTAACATAAAAATTCAACCCCCTAGGAGATGTCTGATGGACCAGACATGCTACAAATAGTATAAAGTTGCTTGCAGGTACTATCATCCAGTATTTTATTAACTGGAGATACACCACCACAAAGGGTTTGAAAGTACAAGGAATGAATGAACTGGATATACTAGCTCTGCAAAAAGCACAGTTCCCTGTATACAACAAAACTGTCTAAATTAATGCACAACACTTTGAGTTAAAGAAAAGCTCCAGAGAATTAATTTTAAAATCACCACCACATCCCACATCTGCTTTTATTTCCACAGCTATGATTTCCATTGCAATGCTTGAAAGCAACCTATGTGAAAGGTTTTTCATAAAGACTATAATAAAACTTAGTGTATGATTTTGTAGGAAAGTGAATGCCAAACTTTTGCAAGATTTTCAAGATATCAACATGGATTTCTAGTTTATTTTAGTTTTTAACCTATCAGTGCACTATTTAAAAACAATACTGTCTCATGTAGACAACTTTAAATCATTGTATATTCCTTCAGAAAAGGCTGTATGCACCTAACAAATAAACCAATGTTGACATATGTAAGCTGAGGGATTCATTGTATGTTGGAGATTCTCTCTTCTGTAGACTTGTTGACAAATACTCAAATAGGCACTGAGTCTTTGGCAAGATCCATGTGTTATGATTTTTTCTTCCCTGATCTGTGTCATCAGTCATAGAGTCAGGTAGCACAGTAATTTAGTGAAAGTAGAAAATACTGAGAAACACGGGTTTCCATCTCTTCTATTGATAGAGCTTACACAACAATATATTACTCACGATTTTCTGTTATTTCCTAAAGAAAATACTGCAATTCAGAAAAGTAACAAGTAACAGCAAGAGTTCAGTGGTTTAAGTTTTAAACAGTACCTGAATTTTTTCTCATTCTTATTTTGAGGCCCCCTCCTTCCCCTTTGTAATATGACATTATTTACATCATCTGATTAAAGGATTTAATTTTTGTGAAATAAGGAGACAAAAATATGGAAGCTTTTAAAAAGAAATTGGCATTCAGAGACAGTGAGAGTCCTGCAAATCCTATATGTTTATAGATAGAGTTTTTCTCCTAGGCAGAGCAGAGAAAATAAACTATAACAAAACAATTTAACACGTCATTGTTTGTTCTTTTCCAGAAAGTGAAATTCATCACAAATTCATGAACAAACTTATTAGTTATTTGAAAAAATCCTATTACATGCATTCAACACTTCACTGTTCTAACTGCTTCTCTTTGCACAGAACAGACAAGGCTATGTACAGGATACACTTGGTTTCGTCACTGCAAGCAATTCCTCCTGAGTTAGAATACAAATTTACTTTCTTTTTCAATGGGACAATTCCTAAAAGCTAACAACTGCTAAAAGGATATTTATTATAATAAAATGTCAACAGCAGTAAGTTAAGCACATGCTGGTCCCACATGAATCATATTAGCAAGGTATTTTGTCCAATATCTGCAAGATAACAAATGTATTATTTTCTACTACTGAGGAAGGCTGTTTCTGCAAAGAAAAGCACTGTGGAACAAAGAGCGTTGAAGGCTGCAGGTACAGTCTAAGCAGAATCATTTACCTCATCTAACATATTTGGGGAAAGCACTGTCAGTGTTTGTGAAGTATTAACAACAGCACCACATAAACCCTTCATGCACACAGTATGTGTATCGGGGAAATCAAGGACTTTAGAGCAGTTCAATCTTCTAATGAAATAAAAAGGCCTGCAGTTGTCTACTTGGCCCATGTTAGTGAAACGAGATGACAGTTTCACAGTAGCCAGAGTTTCTGACAGCGTTGTCAGAATTTCAGAAAAGAAGAAACTCAGGTCTGGGGATCCCAAGATATTAGCTGACAATTTCTTGGTGACAAAAGCTGTAAATTCTCCCTTCTGATTGCCAGCAGGTATAATAAAGACCCCAACTGACTCAATATTTTTGCTTCCACTGCAAAATATTTTTGTGTGGAAGCATGGCATAGCTCTACATTCTTTTCCCCATGCTCTCATACTTAAGGGAGATGAAATAAAATAGATGCTTATATTTAAATGCTTCTGGAGAAATAATCTGATGTTATACAATAACAGAATGGGCAGTCTCCAGAAGTTCTCCCTGCAAACATAATTCTCCTCTTGCTCAGGTAAGTTTTGGACAATTCAGTCTTAGACCTTTACTAAGGTCCTTTTATCCCAGGTGTAGCAGCTTTCCTCTGGCACTGTCCCATACTGATTACAGGCCAACTTCAGTGTACTCTATTGCCAGAATGAGTTATTCCACCTTTCCACCTGGAAGCTTTTTGCTTTCATCCATTTGCATTTTGAACTAGAAAGGGATTAATTTCCAGGCATATTAGCCCTTGATCCAACTCAACAGATGGTTACACAAACAAGAGTGGCAGTACGAAGAAGGAAGTTGGAAGATGCAGCTGGGTTATGGATTTTTGGAGCTGATCTGTACTTAAGTTGGACTAATATGCTTGCAAAACTCTTAGCTCCTGCTTAGTTTTTACTGTGCAACAGCTAAGGGGTCGTGCTGATTTTGCCCAGCTAAAATGATTATTAATTTTTCTGGAGAACACTATTATTACTCCCCAAGAAATATAAAGTATGATTATGTGCAAACCAGGAGACCAACCTTTCAAACCTCAATCTCAAAGGATGTTTGAATGACACTGATAATGTAGTTATTTTACCATCTAAAGTAGTTACATGTTTGTCACAGGTTAGTTGCCATGAGACAGTAACTCTCCACTAATTTCACACATTTAGTTGATTTCATCCCAAGACTTGAACCTATTTTTGTTTCTTATTATAAAGATATATAGATAGATATAAAGATATATTATTTATCTCCCATCCCTTCACCTTTTTCCAATCTTTTATAATAATAACCATGTAAGTAGCTATGAGGAATTGACCATGAGGCAACACAACAGTATGAGGTAACCAACTCCTTTCTTTTCTTCAGCAAAAACTAAATTTATCAGAACAGGTAACAACTGGAATTCCAGACAAGCCATTACTCAGAGTACTTTCAAGCGAGCCCTTGACAGGTGTCTCGTTAAGACCATACGAGGCAGCTGCCTGTAGCAAGGAAGTAGAATGTATGATCTCAGACATACATTCTAGTTTTATGTGCTGGTGTTTGGAAACAGTTTTATCAGAGGAAAGAAAAACGTCCTTGAACATCAGACAAATATTCCTTGGTTATGGACATGCTCACAGTACAGGTGAGTAGAGGATGAGATCCATACTCCATCACAGGTACTGTAAACTGGAGAAAAGGGGGCAGTGCTAGAATGTAATTTGTTTCATCCCAGGGTCAATTACTTAACAGGTCAAATGACTCATGGCTAGAAGTGTCAGTTTCTTTTGAATAAAGGGTTAAACATGATCTATGAGAGAATAAAGCTAGGCACTGTCCCCTCTGGGCAGCTCCTTTTTTCTTTCGTATTCTCTCTGAACGAATACATAAATGTTTCAGTACGATGAAAGCAGCAGAAATGGTGACCTTAGCTGCCCAAACATACACAATCTCCATCACAAATGAGTCTTCACTAGGAATTTCTTCTGAATCAATTCAGTTCTGCCTGGAACAATTCAAATCATGAACTAAGACAGAAAGCGAATACGGAAAATGACACGAGCCAGCTTCATAACACCCTTGGCAAAAGAAAAGAGCTGGAGCTGGGCCTTCCACACAGAGGGTGCACAGTTCCACAGCTAAGAAGATGAGAGGATAATAATGTCACCATTGCCATTTATTTAACAACTCTTTGGTTTTGATTTTTGTCCCCCTGTTTTTTTCTGGACCAAAAGCTGAGGAAGTCAGGAATAAAATAACTTTAATTTCAGGAAGGATTAAGCTATTTTTTAATGTCCACAAGAAAACACCAGTGGTGATAACTGTCTATCGTCAAATATGACAGCTAACATGAAAGAGAAGGAGCCTTTAAACAACATCACTTCTGGTATATCTACATATAAGAATGCAAGTTTTCATCATCATTATAAACTTTTTCATCATCTCCTTTTGCATACCTATGAATTACAAAAAAATTGTCAGAGAAAGCAACAGCTTCCATTTATGAAAGTCAGCATTATAAATTCTTAGTAAATTGTTACTCAGCTGGGTGCTTGCATGATTAAAACCTTCTGGGCTTCAGAAGGTATTTTCTCTGCAGGATTTTGTCAAATCCTGCTTGGTTCCCTATTGGAAGCACTTAAAAGAAATGATGTTAATCTTACCACTGTAGATGCATTTCTGTCATTTTAACATGTCTCTGTTACTTTCAGAAAAAAACGATCAGCAGGCAGAAGATAGGCAAACAATTGGATGCACGTATTTTTGCTAATGCGTATTCTCCAAAGTACATTCACAGGTGCTATAGCTGGTGTAAACTGACATATGTTTTGCTATCATTACATATTTTTTCAAGGATGGAGAGACAGAGAAATTCTAGACATTTAATAGTAACAGATATCGACAAAAAGAGGATTACAAGGACACAGTCAAAACGAGCAAACCTCAATACTACCTACCTTTCGTTTGTTTGTTGGACAGACATATAAGTAGCTCAAAATCGTCTTCAGGCCAACTTTATCGTTCAATTTCTCATACGTTGTCCCATAATCTGTTGACCTATGATTCAAATAGAAGTTTCATAAGTAAGAACACTTAATCACAAAACCGCAAGCCACTTGGCAGTTTTTCAATGCAAGTCATACTTTACATAGTGGAATGGATCTCCAGAGTTTTTTGAATGATTCATGTAGTATATAATGATACTTGATTGTATACACACAGCATCATGTGAGTGCTAACAGTTTGCATTTAAATTAGATTAGGAAAAATTAAACCAGCATCTTCCCAAAGCACTTTAAAATAAACACACACAATAAGAAATGCTAAATTCTGTGTATAGAAGATAACAATAGCCAGAAATGCCAAACAGCAGATAGCACGAGACTATAGTTATCAATTCATTGTATACTCCAGCCTTAGACCAAATTTTTTTAAGATAAGAGTCTTTTCTCAACACACTGCAATGAAGCTATTTCAGTTGATTGTTCAGTGAAATTAGAGTTTAGTTTTCTGTGAAAAAAGTAATGCTCTTCTAAAAAAAAAAAAACCAACTGTATAAGCATTTCAACTACAATTTCTGTGGTTTTATACATAAAGACTAGCAGATTGTATGGGCACATACCTTATTTCTTTAAAAGCAATCCTTTTCCACTGTTTGTAGGGAAAATAATATATTTCTGATACGAAAATTGCCAACAGAGATACTGACTACACATTTTGGGGTGACAAAAGAAGTGAACAAATGAGATTGCACTAAGTTCCCATGACATTTACTCTCAACATCTGACTGGAATGAAGATCAACTGTCAGCAGCAGATTTGTACTTATATTATGCACCTCATGCTTGTCTGAATTATGTTTTAATAACCAAGAAATTTAGATAATCAGCCCAAAACTAGTACAGCCAGCCAAATTCACAAAGATATTTAAAGTACTTAATGCCTACCATTAATGGTACCACGGCTTTGTTTTGTTTGGTTGGTTTTGTCAGGGAGCAGCATGAGGATTAGACCTTACAATTGTGTTCCACACCTGTAGCTGATTCATGCCATATTTCTAGGATTTCAGATTTTGCAGTCAGTTCATTACGTGAACAATGCCGGGCAGGAGCAGCTTGGACTTTTATCCATTAAAACAAATTCCACCAAGATGAGGATTTGCATTAAAGCTGAGCTTTTCTATTCATGAAGTTTATTAAAGAATTAGTTTGCCTTTTGCTTTTGCGTAACAACTGGCCTGTGGTCTTTTTCCTTGCTCCCTTCTAAGAAACATACGCACCTGTGACCTTTGCGTGTGAACTTTCTTAGTTAGAAGATTAATGCAAAGTTCTCACCCACTGACTGATCTTTGCCTTTATAAGGTCATCTTTCCCAGGAGAGCATGTAAACTAGCCCAGCTATTTCTTCAGTAGACCTAGGAGAAGGACACTGCAATAGCTATGTCTGTTACTGAGTATTTCAGAGACACTCTGGTGTTCAGGTGCAGAAAGTCCAGCAGAAGGCTGAAGACAGCCTTGCTGGCTCACTTTGGTCACCTTGTCCAGCTCATTGCCCCACCTTCTACATCAAACATAAGACATTCTTGTGAATTTAAGGCTAATAAACATTCATAATTAAAGGTAGGGATTAAGTTTGGCCTACTGAGTTAAGAAAAAATATATTTTAAATGAAGTAATGCATCTCTAAGCTGGTAAATGATTTTAAAATGGGACCCTTCAAAGAACGATGGGAATGAAGAAAATTCAACCCACAAAACTCGTTTGGAGATTACTGAACAGCCTCACAACAGTACAGCCAAAGAGATGCTGAAGATCTATTGCAAATTAAAATTATAAGCCTTGTCTTACTTCAAATCTCTTATTTGGCATTCATAGGCTTATTAACAGGTAATGTCATACTCATACGGAAGTGTGCACTTCTGCCAACATCTATAACAAACAACAAAAATGTTACAAGGAAGACTTGGAAAACTGTTTTTTGCAGATGAACAAATATGCAAGTGATAAAAGGAACCACTGTTATGTCTTATTCCCATTATCCTGTTCTAAATTAGTAATAGCTTGTCCTCCTGTCTGTTCAGCTACAGTCTGTTATTCTTATGCCATTTTGTAGTTAACCTCAATGTTAACAGACAGACAAATGCTATGCAACAACAGATGGGCATTTAGAAACGCTTTAACAACAAAACAGTGGTGGGTGCACACAAAGAGCAGTGGAATTGAATCAAATGAAATGCATCTAAAGCCTCTGTTGGGATATGACTCAGGGGTATCAACAAACTTATTCCTATCATATATGCATACGTACAGACGTCGACTGGCAGCCTGGGTATTTGTCTTTATTTATTAAATGGGTATATAAATACATACATATTTATAAATATATAAATAACGGGTATAATATATATAAATATATATTATCAGCCATTTTGTGTTCCAGGAAGCAAGCTAACCTGGAGTGGTTGCAAAAGACAGAGGCACTTCAGCAGGTTATAGACAGGAGTAACAACATAGGATTATCAAATTAAATTCCTATTAACTGGAGGGGAACAGGTACGTATCAAGCAACATTTCCCATTCTTTGAGGGGCAGGCTGCTTCTGTGATGCTCTGCAGAGAAAAACCAGTTTAACTGCATCTGTATAAAACAAGCAAAACAAACGTCTATCTGAATCATCTAAAAGGACCAAACACGGGACCTGTTGAGCTGAAAAACACAGGAAAGTAACTTCATCTGCTGAAAACCTATATCTAGTGATATAATATATAATGTAGTGAACAGTAGGATGTATTTTATTAGGTCTATAGTGTAGACATGCACATGTAGAATAGAGTTGTTGAACAGGTCTCATCAAATAATTTAAATCCATGTGTAAATTGTTTTCTTTCAGAATGCTATAGGCTGACTTGCTTTATTTTGACAAGGTACAGTTAAGGCTAAGTCAAAGCAAGTCCAGCTGCTTGAAACAGGAAGGTCTGCAGAGAAATTTGAGATCTGTGTCGGTCTAATTAAATGTGAAGCAAAAAAGCAAGACATTAGCGCACTGTGGATGTTGCTGAAATGCAGATGAGATATACTAAAGAATAATTTTCAGGAACAGACTATTTATACTTAACTGTGATTACCTCATACCTGTCCCACTATCCTAGCTGTCATTAGTTCCATTAAATTAACCCCAACTTTTACTAGTAGCTCTTCAGAATCAGACTTCCTACTCAGCTAGTAAATAAGAATGGTTTCTGCAAACGTTCCGTGAGATAAACATTTTGATTATTACTAGTTCATTTATCAGTATAAAGAAAATGATACAACTGCAGTACAGAAACCATGACTTCCATGCATAATAAATTAAAAGAAAATTAAACTAAAAACATGCAGAGTAATTTATATTTTGCAAACTGTTTGCAAGAAAGTTGACATTTAAATAACTTCGTTATTATTCATTGACAGGGCTTTTCCCTCTTCTCCTGTCAGGGTAAATGACATTCCTATTACTGTATTATAATAAACTCCTGCACGTTTTAAATAAAGCCACTGAATTCCATTAGTCTGCCTACTGTCATAAATATATCTCAATCCAGTCCTACCAATATTTCACAACTATAATAGGCAACCTGAATCACCCAGTAACACGAATCCTATGGAAATTTTCTTCTTCCTCAAGAAGCACAGACAAATTCTGAGGACTGTCAGTTTGAATATATAAATTAAGTCAACTCTCTAGCAAGTCACTGCTTACTTTCTTTCATTACAAATTTAAGGTTGTCTGTACTCACTTTAAAAAAAGCTGCTGAAGACAAGAAAAACCAACCTGTTGATGTTTCTGTTCGGAAAGATCTTTCTAGAAAATTCTTAGTAGGGAAAAAGAACATTAAACACCAGATTTAAGCAGGGTATCAACTTCTACTGTTCAAGTACCATTTTCTCTCCATAAATATTCATTAAGAAGCACTTTCTTTCCTTTTGCCACCAGCCATGACTGGCTTCTGTAGACTAATGTGACTGCTTTTTCTTCCTCCCTACCATCAGGAGACCGCCCTATGCATCATGCGCACTCACCCTCCTCCTTCACCACAGTTTTATTTGTGCTCTATCTGCTCTCCAAGTTGCAGCCAACCCTGATAGATAGGGCTAGGCGTAACTATAAGGTGCTTCAGGAACAGCAGAGTGAGCAACCCGCCATGACCAGGAATAGCATGAAGAGGTGGACTCCAGCATGTGAATTCAACCCTGATAAAAGTAAGATATTTTAAGCAAGAAACAGTCATGATTATAAGATTACCTGTTCCAACCTTGCGCGTAACTACATTTGCCACCTTGGAAGAGACTGGCCTGTTGATCACGAGATTTACCAGCCACCATTGTATTAATCTCTGCTCGAACAGTTTTTTGGATAGAAAGATTTTATACTGCAGACAGCAGAGCTGTGGTGTCAGAGGTTGCTCTTATAAAGGCTTTCACTGAATAAGCATTTGAGTAAAGGAATCATTAATGCATTTAAGATGATCTTGTAGGCCCGTGAAAAATAGTGGAGCTGTTAATGCAGGAGCTTACTAATGATCCTGCATATGATGTTTCATGCCTAAACTCTACCACAGAGTTGTAGACTTCTGCATTCTTGCTTTTGGGGGATGTTATATGCTCAGGTGCTCTTCCCTCATCACTTAAATTGAAACTCTTTCCTTCATGGCTTTACAGCCAAGTACTAAAGTTCCTCATTGATTTTTGTCATGCCATGCTGTTTCACAAAAGCTAATAACATCAAAGTCATCTTCAAGACAACCATTTAAGTTCACTTGTTCTACCTATTAAAGCCTTTTACATGCCACTGCTAAACGTCACTTTTGGCTTGATGCCTGTTTTGATTTAACTACTTCCTGACTAACCCTGGAAATGACCTGATCCTAGCTTCTTGCTGCTCCTCATTTTCATAGCAAGTTACTTCTGTTTTTCAGAAGAATTACCTTGCCTCACCTGAACATTTCTCACCACTTGCTGACATTCTAACTCATATAAACAATTCTCTAAACCTTCATCCACTTCCAACCAAAAATCTATG